CTGAAAAGACACCACGGGGCTGGACATGGGAAGTCAACAAGTTGTGCCTTCCCTCATCATTTCCCTCTAGAAGGGACCCATGTTGACTATTCTGGGTCCACCCAAAGCAACACCTACTCCTGGGGGTGGCTGCAAGGAATAGTACCTTCAGGGCATAGACCCTCAGCCCTAGATCCATCAACTTCCTCTCACTCTCTGCTGCTTCTTGGCCTCAAGATGACACCACCTCTAAAGAGAAGAGGACAGGCTGGTTGTGTCTAGAGGTAACCACAGCTCTCAAGGTCCTTGATGATTGCTTATTCCAATGGGAAACTGGACCACAGGATGCAGTCTGGTGGGTTTAGAAACTCCAAACTCAGCCAGGCCTAACCTGCATATCCCCAGTCCAATCCCAGCCCATGTTGTACTCTAAAACATCTTGTCTTGGAATCTGGAATCCTGAGTCCATTTCCCACTGGCTCATTGGTCCCCACTAGGTTTGTTTCCTGGCCAACTGACCAGAAGAGATCCATATTTGTACCCATTCCAAAGAATGGTGATCCCACAGAATGTAGAAATTAGCAAACAATATTGTTAATATTGCACTCAAGTAAAATATTACTGAAGATAATTAAAAAATGGTTGCAGCAGTATATTGACAGAGAACTTCCAGAAATGCAACCTGGGTTCAGAAGAGGACATGGAATGAGGATATCATTGGTGATGTTAGATGGATCTTGGCTCAAAGCAAAGAATACCAGAAAGATGTTTACTTGTGTTTTATTGACTATGCAAGACCATTCAATTGTGTGGATCATAACAAATTATGGATAACATTGAGACAAATGGGAATTCCAGAACACTTAATTGTGCCCAGGAGAAACCTGTACATAGACCAGGAGGCTGTCATTTGAACAGAACAAGGGAACACTGTATGGTTTAAAATCAGGAAAGGAGTATATCAGGGTTGTATCCTTTCACCATACTTACTCAATCTGTATGATGAGTCGATGCTTTTGAATTGTGGTGCTGGCAAAGAATTACTGAGAGTCCCATGGACTGCTAAAAGAACTAACAAATCTATCCTGGAAGAAGTGCAGCCAGAATGCTCCTTGGAAGTGAGAATGGACAGACTTCGTCTCACCTACTTTGGTCATATTGTCAGAAGGGACCATTCCCTGGAGAAGGATGTCATGCTTGGCAAAGTGGAGGATCAGCAAAAAAGGGGAAGACCCTCAATGAGATGGATTGACACAGCAGCTGCAATGATAGGCTCAGGCATAGCAGGGATCATGGGGCTGGCCCAGGACTGGGCGGTGTTTCGTTCTGTTGTACATAAGATCACTATGATTCAGAGATGACTCGCCGGCACCTAACAACAACAACAGGTTTGTTTCCAACCTCTCTGAACTTCAGTTCCTCCCTCTGCACTGGAGACAGTGACAATGCCCACAAGGTTGCTGGAGAACCACACGGGCTGCTGGCTGACAGTTCCATCAGTCACAGGTTAGGCCGGACTGAAGACCTAAGTGTCCAGTTGTGAAAAGTGACCACATGGGTGATGGGGACAGGAGTGATGTCTTCCTGGCCCCTCCGGGTGCTGATAACAAGCCTAAGGGCCCTTGTCACTGGGAGAAGAGAGTTATAGAGAGAGGAAAGTCCTACTTGTCATTTAGATTTGGGATAACATAAGGGCCCTTCATAAGGGGTAGGTGACGTCACAGTGAATTGACATGCTGAAGTCCCTTTTCCTATAATGAGGTCCTGACCTGGAGATCATGTGAGATTGAATGATCCTGACACTGGTGGACAGTCTGCCCAAGCTGGAGGTCTCTCTGATGGGGGAGGAGGTTCTGGCCAGACAGGGCTTGTTATGAATCCAGGTCCATTTGTTCAATTGATTACAAAATATCCATTGAGCACTTACTAGGTGCCAGATTCTAAGATGATTGAAGTAGTGTTGAACAAGAGAGATGGCCCCATTTCATAAGGGTCTTCCTTAGGTTTCCAAGGCAATATCTCTACAGAAGTAGTTTGCTCAATCTTCCTTCCAAGGACTGTCTGGTGGGTTTGAACCACCACCCTTCTGATTAACAGTCAAATGCCTTAGGCACCTATGCCACCAGAGCTCCTCCTTGCCTGGTAGGGGTTATAATGTTCTTCACTGGAGTTCGGGAACCTTGTAATGTGTGTGGGCATAGAGCATTTGTGAGTGAAGGTCTAATGTTTTCCATAAACTCTCAGAAGGGTCCAGGAACCCAAGAGTTAAGCATCTATGGATCTAGAGGTTTCTCCTTACTAGTTAAGAGCTCAGACATCCCTCCTCACTTCTGCTAGCTCACCTCTTCACTTCTTTCCCCATTAATGGTTCCCACTGGTAACATAGTGCTTAAGGCATTTGACTGCTAATCAGATGACTGGAGGTTAAAACCCACCAACCACATCTCAGAAGGAAGATTGGGCAATCTATTTCCTCTTGCCTCTCCACGGTAGGGAGTTTGGGTTTTTTGAGTGGACCTTGACACATGGCTGTTGTTCTTTTATTGTCTGCTATATTTTCCCAGTAACTAAAGTCAACTAAACCATGATAAATGACGTGTGTTGTTTTTGGAGTTTGTAGTCGACTTTCATTCTCTTATACAACAAACCTGTCTTTAAGCTCCTTACCTGTCCCTGGCCCGGGCTGCATCCTGGGCACACTAAAACAAAGGCCCTTACACCTGCACAGGAGCTCACAGTCAATGGCAGAGACTGACAGCACCTTGCTAGTCCTTACCATCTGCATGTGCACTGAGCTAGTGGAAGTCTACTCCATCTCTAATTGGGGCTTGGACCAGGGTGAACCCATGCACCTCCCGATTTCCCTGTTGTCACCTGAAGAATGAAGTGAGGACCAGAGTGCAAAGAGTCCTTGAAGGTCAGAGAAGACCTCATACTGAAAGTTCTAAGGGTAGAGCTCAGACTAAATTCAGCATCTGGCTCCTCCACAAATGTTAATGGACAAGACATTTCCGGCCCTGGACTAAAATGAAATGCC